ATAGGAAAATTCTGTAAAAATTTTCTTCTCTGGAATAGCAAAGACATGAATAATCATATTTTTATGGAAGTTTCCTCAGGTAGTGGACATTTAAGTTTGTTTAAATCATGACCCCTGGGGGTAGGGCGGGGCCAAAACATGGAATCCAATATTTACATAGAAACATGTAGAAAAAATCTTTATAAAAATCTTCTTTTCAAAAATAGCAAAGCCATGATCAGTCCTATTCATATTGAAGCATTCTCAGGTAGTGTAGATTCAATTTTGTTCAAGTCATGACCCCTGGGGGTAGGCCGGGGCAACAATGTAAGTTCAAATGTAAAGGGCAATAAAGATAAATGTAGTCAAAGAAATATGCAAGCATCCTTAGTTGGTGTAGATTCAAGTTAGTTCAAATCATACCCTCTCCCTTTTAAGACTATTTTGGGACCACTATTGGGTTTCAACTTTTCAATAATAAACTTATTTATGCTTTTTTCCTAGCCACATTGCTCAGGTGAGCGATGTGGCCCATGGGCCTCTTGTTATATCTATCATATGAGGGAACCATTTATATTCGAATATTATTTTTGTGTGATTTGCTTTAATGCATGTACAAAGTGACATTGTATGACAAAATTTTGATTAAACAATGTATTTAAAAAATCACTACAAGAGTAGGCGAAAGTGGCTATATATCAAATGCGCTATGGCTCTTTTAAAAGAACACTCTTTATTTGTTTTATTACTACACATAAAGATAATAATGTTAGAGCAAATCCATCTCTGAAGTTTTAGAGGTCTGTGTTTGCACTGCTCCATTATTTGTATTGTTTAATGGACATCTGAGTTTGAGTACTGTTTGTCATCACCATATATTTCATATTTATAAACGTTTAACTTTTAACTCACTGACTTAAGTTAGAGGCAACAAGAAATCAACAGCTACTCGTGGTCAGTGGAACCAACTTTCAACCCCCAGCACTCCACCCCCACCCCATGCACATACATGGTAATGAATTATGAAAACTTAGGCACCAACCATTCAAAAGTTATGGTCAATTTTAATGTTTTCTTAAAGTGAGTAAAACTCAAAGAAAAAAGTCAAAATTAATGGTCCACAGGGGAAGGCCTTGTCATGAGAAATAAAGGTGCAAAAAATATAAGAGTCCTAGCACCAACTGTTCCAATTTTATGGAGTAGGTTACCATTTTTCAAAGTTAGTTCCAACTTCCTGGTCAAGGTCAACAGATTAGAATTGTTGTCATTTTAAGGAAGGCCTGTCACAAGGAAAATATGTGTTTTAAGTCCTAAAACTTTCCAAAAGTTATGACCAAGGTTTAAGGTTTAAAAGTAGGTCAAACTCTGATGTCAAGGTCAAAAGCATTAACTACAGAGGAAACTTCTTGTCAAGATAAATACAAATTTTGAGATGTGCAAGAAGCCATAGCAAAACACAAATTGATTTGAAGGTTACTGTTAGATAAAAGTTTTGGAAAAGTAGGCCAAACTCTTATAGTTAAAGGTCAAGAAGTCAAATGTTGGAACCCAATGAAAGGTCTTGTCACAAAATATACACATGTGAAATATGAAAGTCATAACTCCAACCATTAAAAAGTTTTAGGCATGGTTATGGTGTTTGTGAACAGCCTAGCAGACAGACAGCTATAGACAGACTGTTACTTAGACAAACATACAGACAAGGCAACACTATATTCCTCGAATCTTCTATAACGGAGCATAAAAATAAATATGGCATGGAATGTGTTATTTTAACTTGTGAAATTTATGACATGCTTAACAGAAAGACGAGGGAAAATGCATAAAATCGGGACTCCTTCCCGAACCTCTGATAGAGTTTTAAAATGAAGTCGGTAATAAGTATACATAGGCGTCGGAAGCAAACTGAAAGGGGGGAGGGGGCTAAACCTGCAAAATAAGGTAAACCCCAATATAAGCCCCCCCCCCCCCGGTTCGACGCCTATGGTATATGATTGGACTGATATGATGCGATCCCGATACTTTTAATATTTAGTAAACGATCAAACATACACGGCAATTCATATCATATATAATAGTATACAATTGCATAACCTTAATTTTCATCTTTATGTACATATGTAAAATTTGCAATCATAACTTTATACCCGTGTGTAGTTTATCGGGTACTTACTTTCAAAATTAAAATAAAATGACCTAAATCATTGTAATTTTTCACATTTTTGTGAAATAAATACAACCGTCAACAATAAAAGCAAAACGACACCGCTCCGGGTACGGTCGATCGACTGTGAAACCTTATCCCGTCACGGGGTCTATTTTGAAATCCCACGTAAGGGTTAACAAGGGGTTTGTAACCGAAAGTGTGACCAAAATCAGCAAAATGACAGATCTGTAAGTAAAGTTTAACTTACATTGTTGTCCATGTGTTACATTTAAAGGTAAAACTTTATAGGTTTGACTTGATCATTGTCTAAACTTTTAATGTAACACATGGCTATGCTTTATTAGGACTTACTAGTAGCTATAAGAACAGTTTTAGCCTAGAAGCTTGCTTAGCTAAGATTTGATAGTCTTAGCAGAACTTAGGCAACCAGTAGAGGTGATTCTAGTATGTCTAACTATTTTTTACAATAAATTATGTTAAAACTAAACATTTAAGACATCATTTAGTGAGCTCACTGCCTACAGTACCTCCAGTCGGAATATTAATTACATGTGTATAAAGAATTTGTTACTGAAGTATTTCTCAGATGTGCTTATAAAAGTTGATCTTATATAATCAATGAACACTCGATCATTTTTTTCTCTCGAATGCTGTGACATCATAAAAATTAGTGGGGGTTAATTTTCGCTGTTTTAGACCGAGGTACTATGACCACCACGAAATGTAAAATGTCATATTCATTACTACATGTACTAATAAAACATATACTCCAACCACGAAATAAAATCCCAATAAACCAATATTTTTCTTCAAACCTTGAAAGTATGACCCAACGAAAATATGTGGTTTACAGTAATTCAATTACACCCTAAAACAGTTATATAAACTGATCTTATTTACAGGAATACTTATGCTATCGTTGGACTGTGTGTAGGAGGAGTTTTGCTGATTATAATTATTGTGGTCTTGGCGATTTTAAAGAACTTGCGGAACAAAAAGAGACAGACACAGCGCATGGTCATGATAGATGCGGTGATAAACGGCATATCCAACACAAATCCCATGCAGCAACGGCAAGGTTGTTTAAAACTTTAAAAAATAACCATAAAATATATAAACTATAAAATATAGCAATGAAATAAAGGGCTCAAGGCGGGTGTGTTCTATCAGCAGGGATTGCTTATTCCTCCTTGGCATTAATTCCGCCTCTATATTTTGAGAGGCCTCATTGTTTGCGCTGTTCTAAAAAAAATATCGTGTAATTTTTTTTTGAAGAAGGGGGGATGATATATTTCATCTTTGAGATATTTATATATACTCACATACCTGTATCTACTACTTTTTTTATTATTTGCTTTGTATTAACAGGAATGTCAACAATATCCGGACATCTACATCCGTCAGATGGTGCTATGTATCCGTATCAGCTGGGACAGTCAGCACAACATCTAAATCTAAACAATAATATAAGTCACGTACAGTACGGACAACCAGCCCCTATCTACAACAACTTCTAAAGACAACGAAATACTATGACCCGTTATTCAAAGCAGAATATCCCCTCAGTTGTGCATTAGGTGACCTGAGAGTATTTTCAAGTACAGTGTACATGTACCAGACCTCAAGACATAGTTTCTTTTTTTTCCATGATGTTTTTTGTTATACTGTACATTTAAAAGTTTCTGTGCATGTGTATGTGAAGGTGTTTCCTTTAAGTCATATATTTTTTACTCAACGTCATATTATTTATCCAGATTAACTAGAAATGTTTTTACAATAAATTCAATTATTTTTATTATAAACTTTTCAAATATCATAATTAATTTCAAGTTTATTCAAATACTCAGTAATAAAAAAAAACTGTGAAAATCGGGTGGCGGAGCAGGTCAAAATTTTGGATATTATACTAGAAAGAAAGATGACGATGGTAATCTAACAACAAAGCGTAATGATAAAAGGTGATGAGTTTATCTCTTCAATCGTCACTTCCCTTACATATTTAGAAATATGCCTTCATCACCTACGGATGATCAATTTCCTCACAGACAGCCACTCTCTGATACAGAGTCTATATCATTCAAATGTCCCCTGTACATGCACGACAGACTTTTGACATGATTCCTGCATGCTTCCTCTAAGAATTTTCACATTTTATTATGAAGTTTTCAAGAGTAAAACACAACACTGTGTGATAGGCTAGGGTAGAAATCATTGGTGGCCAGGGTTAAAGCTATCATGCATGTCCAAGAACGAATTCGATGTCGATATCGACGATATCGACAATATTATGTCGATATCGATCATGATGAGCACTATTAATTTGAAATACTTGGTACCATATATAAGACTTTGTGCTATGTCGATATCGACAATACCATGACGATATCGTATCGATATCAATCGTATTTGTAGAATTTATTTTCACAATGAGGTATAACATAATTTTACAAGGTCACAAGTGATGTCAAATTCATTCATTATTAGCATGAATATGAAATGAAATTATGATAAGGTGGTTGTTATTGTTTTGGATTAGGTTTAGAGTAAGATGTTGGGTGAGGGAGAAAGTTGTTTAATATATTTTAACAATCATGATTCGATATCGATACGATATCGTCGATATCGACGATATCGACAGTAGGGTAAACTTATTAATCAAAAGTACATATGCACAAGCGTTGCATGAAGAAACAGAACTTATTGTCATGGGATATGTTAAAAATAAAGATTTTGTAATAGGGTGAAGGCTGGCGAAATAATATATTTTAACAATCATGATACGATATCGATACGATATCGACGATATCGATGGCAGGTACAATCTTCGTAAAAGTAGAGTAATTAAACATAAATATACATTCAAAGTAACAGGGACGGTATTTACAAAGAGCTGAGCAAACATGATTCGATGTCGAAGCGACATCCTCGATATCGACGATATCGACACTACAGGGAAAATTTCAGTAAAGATAGTTTTCAAATTACATATGTTAATACAATACTAGTATTGTAGATGGAAACCATAATTCTTTGAACAATCATGATTCGATATCGGCACGATATCGTGGATATTGACAGTAAGGAAGACTTCTTAAAACAGATATAAGTATTGTAATAAACACACAAGGATAGAGAAATATTATAGTAAACTATAAAAAAGTAATGCGTCGATATCGTAACTACATCGTGTCTTGGACATAACTCAAAGCTATAATTATATATATATTAAATGTGAACTATATATATCTTATGAAATTGATTTCTATCCCACGATACAAACCATTTATAATTTGAAACTTAATACGATGCAACAATTCTTTAATTTTTATATCATCTATATTTTTTTCGTTTCTGCGCCCTTTGAGAGGTTATGAATACAGAAATATGTAGAGATCACGAAAAGTGTTCAAACTTAAAAGTTCTTTAAACAATACAAATTTTGGAGCAGACCGAACACAGACCTCTAAAACATCACGCGCGACCGGTGGGATCAGGTGTCATGGAGGAGTGAGGATCCCCTGCCGACCGGTCACATCCGCCTTGTGCTCCTTGTCGTGATTGGAAAAAAAAAAGAAAAATTCTTTGACGATTCAGTGTGTATATAATGTTCTAACAAATAGTATGAAAAAAGTCTGCATTTGATGTAGCAATAAATTGTATTTGTTGACAAGGTCATTGTCTCGACTATTGAACTTACGAAATGATGACTTTAAACGAGACCTCTGATATCATTGTTTCCTAAACTTTTTTGTCAATACTTAACCTCGTTTCAGAATTGGGCATGTTCCAGCGTATCAAATCAGCTGAGAGATATAAACTCCGTATGTAATTGCTGTATAAGTTAGAGGAGTTGATGACAGAAAAGTAATCACGTTTAGCATAAAGCTTGGTTGTTAGATTACCATAAACGTCTTTTCCAAGTAAAATATCTAAATATGAAACAGATGTGTTAGACTATGTAGTATCTTCTATTTCAAGCACCACGGGATATATCGTATCGATATAAGAATTGAAAGAACCATAGTTAATTGAAATATCTAAATATCGAGTTAAAAGCTACAGCAAATGCTTTCCTCTTTTCTTGACAAGATTTCGAATAAATTCTGCTTCATATGAATACAAAAATAGGTCTGCTAATAACGGGGCGCAACTGGTACCCATGCGTTGAAAGACTTGGTTTCCAAAATCACATATATATACTATAGTAGAAATTGTCAATCAGAAACTCAAGCATCTTTTTAATGGTAACTCTATACTTTTGTGTACCACCAGAATGTTTTTAACAAAATAATTTTGCAAATGACCAATGACGAGGTGTTTATACATAACTTTTGCGTCATTAACAATATGAAGAAATATCTGAAGTTTAATTTTTCTTAAATTATTATAATCTTTGATTATAAAAAAAATAATTTATTTTTTAAACCGAGCTATCGAAAGAAATGATATAAAATATTTATTAAACGTTATTCTATTTTTTTTTTTTATTTCTGACTATTATGTTATAAATAGACGAAACAAAAACTTAGCAAAAGGTTTTATTACATATTAATACCAGGTAACTAAAAAAGACCAAGAAAAGGTTTCCGTTTTTCTTATTATATTATTTCACTTTTTAAATAAATCGTCTGTAAGTGAATTACGATCTGTCAATTTCACCACTATCTCTTATCAGCTCTGTATATATAATGTTATTTCCTATCTAGCTTGTAACACGAGCTTTGATTGGTTACAAAGTCGGGTGTAAATATCCGTGCACCCGACTTGAGCCGGGTGTAAATAAAACGTGACGTCACAATGCATAGTTTTTCTATAATACAAAGCAAATCGATATGTTGAGACACACTCTAAAGCATTGTTATGGGTACAAAGGAAATAAATTCGTTATCCAGGTTCAATCAAGGGTGTACGGGGATTTACCCCGGGTTGTATTCCATACACCCTTCGGCCTTCGGCCTCAGGGTGTATGGAATACCGTAAATCTGGAAATTTTTGCTGTAGATAAATTTTTAGCAAATTTGCGAGTTCATTGCATTCGCAAAAATATTTTTCTTAAAAATAAAATACCTTTTAGAAAAAGTGAACAAAGCAGTGATCATTCGCAAAATTTTGAAACGTAAATATTAATCAACAGCATTTTGACCCAAATTCGCAAAATAAAATCGACGTAAAAATTTCCAGATTTACGGTACAACCCGGGGTAAATCCCCGTACACCCTTGATTGAACCTGGATAACTAATAGACTTCTATATATTTTTTGTTCTTTCGGTAAAATGAGATATTTGGGTGCCTTTGTGCGCATACGTCACAAATGTGTTTGAAATAGGTATGAATAGATTTGAATGTGAAAAAGACATTGAAATGTTTTGAGCTAAGAAACCAGTTTGAAAGAAGGAGAAGGGCATTTAAAGTGTGAAGTTTACAGGCTTCTCACATACTTTATGTTTCTCTTAATTGCGGAAATTTACCATTTACGGAAAATGAATGCACAGATCCTGGAATTATTCATTTGTCTTTTATGTAAGTTTTCCTCAAAGATCTATCTTTATGAAAAACTTTATAGGTAGAAGATTTGTCATGTATTGTCTTTTAAAAAAATTATTTTATCAAAGTCAACTTTTAAAAGAAAAAAATAACATTATATTTTTTATAGTTTTATAGTTTTCTACACCACATAATATTTTTCTTATTTAACAAAAAAATTTTATGAAGAATTGTATTTGTAATGCTAGTATATTAAAACTGACGTCATAAAGAAATCTAGATATTTTATCGATTTTTCTTTACTAATTGCCAAGCAATTCATGCACATGAATAGAAATTTCTATTGCCCGAGTTGTATTACCTCAAGAAGAATATAGGTAACGGTTATACATTTAAATTTTGTGTGACGTTCAAAGCCGTTTGAGTGTATTTCTATGTGTTTTCCCATTTTAAAGCCTGAAATGGTTCTCATTTAACAGTATATTCTTTAGGCATTTAATATTAAACTCGTTGATATTTTGTCAGCATGACAAATTATATATAAAGAGGGTCACGACACTTTCCTCTGTCACTTTGGCCCTGTCGTTCTGCATCAGATTGTATTATTTTAATTTTTTCTCGTGAAAAATGTTAAACGTATTATAGTTCTAAATAAAGGGGCCATGATTTGAATAATTCATCATAGCCATCCTGTTCTTGCTCTAAACTTCCACGGAAATTTTTCACAAAAGTTTAATCATTTACACTACAATATGCTTGAGAAGACTTTGAAGAATTTTCTATACTCTTCAATATAAATCTTTGATGTCTTATTTTGGTCCCACCCTAACCAGGACCATGATGAAAAATTAACAATCTTCACCATCTTTGAAAGCTTTCACGTTAAATTGCATTTTTTGGTCCTGTCCTTCTCTACAGAAGTTTTATTATAATTATCATATATTTCAATACTTACCAAAAAAAATGTACATTTTTAAAACTATATCAAATGAAATTAAATGCAGTTTTTGTACTTTAAACCATTAAAATTGTGAGGGTGGAAAAACCTTAAATCGATTATTTTTACCCAAATCTACACCTAGGGGATAAGATTTCATCAATTTTCGCTTCCTCGGGAAGCTTTCATATCAGCTTCAACTTTTCTAGTCAAGTGCTTGTTGAAAAGAATAGAATTTAAAAAAAAAAAACCATCATATTTTAATGTAAAGTTTGGATTTCTTATTGTGGCCACACTCAGTCCCAGACTGAAATGATTTGAGCAATTAAGAATTTACACTACATCAGAAAGCTTCCACATAATGTTCTGGTCCAGTGGTTCTCAAAGGCCGTAAGTGCCGAGCATAGGCCTAAATTTGCAGCCCTTCACCGGCAATGATGACGTCTCCATATCAGTGAAATATTCTGGAGAGGGACGTTAAACAGTATACAATCAATCAATCCAGTTGTTCTTCGGAAGATTTTTTAATGACCCTTGCTTAATTATATCTTCTCTTGAATTTTTCATTAGAAGAAGACTGGATCCTTTATTTTGATAATTTAGAATTTCCGTCGCTCAGAATGCTTTATATAAGTCTCAATTAAAATTGGCCCAGTGGTTCTTAGAAGAAATTGAAAATGTGGAAACTTTACAAACGGACGCCGGACAATTGGTAATCAGATTGGTAATTAGCTCAGGTGAGGTAAAAAAAAAACTTGAACATTTTTTTTTCTTTTCTAAAACTTAATGTTATTTTTAGTAAATACAGATTTACTATAAGTTGAATATATCTTCAGATATAATAGAAAAAAAGATAATGAGAGAGAGAGAGAGAGAGAGTGTGTGTGTGTGTGTGTGTGTGTGTGTGTGTGTGTGAGGGTGTGTGTGGGTGTGGGTGAGGGTGTGTGGGTGTGTGTCAACGAGAGAAAGAGAGGTCAACACCTGTCAATCACATCAAACAAAAGTTTCTTTCTTGTTGTAGTTCTGCCATTGGTTACTGGAGGGTATTACTGCTACTACGGCTACTACTACTACTGCTATTACTACAGCAGTTACGATAAGTAATGTATTTATATTACTTTTCAACATGTATTTATATTTTACAGTTACAACAAGTGATGATCGGGAAATAAGTTGTTGTTTTTTTTTTAAAAAAGGACAATTCAGTGTGTGTATATAATTGCCTAACAATTTACATGAAACACTTCCGTCAGCATTTGACTCGATGATAAATTGTATTTCCTGACAAGGTTATTGTATCGACTATAGAACTTGCAAAATGATGACTTTAAACGAGACTGCTGATATTCTTGTTTCATCAACTTGTTTATCAATAATTAACCCCCTTTAGAAATTGTTCATACATGTAAAGAGTATGATCTTGCGTATCGATTCTACTGAGAGATATAAACCCGGGATGCAGGTGATGAAGGTTTATTGCTGTATAAGCTAGGCAAAGTGACGATTGAAATGTCAATTGTTATCACGTTTATCATAAAGTATGTAATGTTATGCTGTTATTTCTAATTCTGGTATATTCATTATCTTTTATTTTTTCGCTGCTTAGGTAGGGCCTATATTTTCTGCATTTTTTTTATTGTTGTGTTATATTCACTTTGTTTTTGTTTTTTCATTGCTGAGGAGACTTTTTTATTGTTGAGATATATTTCACCAAGGTTCTTTTTTGCAGTGCTGGTGTTTATGCTGGAGCGGTTGTCGGTGCTATCGTTGTTATTGTCATCATTGCAATTGTCATCTGTGTCATCAAAAACAATCAAAGGAACCGTGTGACAATGATCGGCGGCGGCCCCTCCACCACTGTGACGAACGTCAATAATGTGAACACTGTTCACCAGCCACGTATGTTATCATTACATCATTTAAATATACAACACCAAGATTTATTCGAAGTTAAGGATTTATAAAGCAGTAGTGTTTCAAATGTGAATAACATTTTTAAAATTCAATTTATGTATACATTTGGAGTGTAAATTTTATTTAGAATTCATACCCAATTTATCTCCCTTAAATGTCAAATTTTACTTTACAGCTCCTCCGGGTTACGGATTCGGAGCTCCGCCCCCTGGTCATGGATACGGAGCCCCTCCTCCTGGTTACGCCCAACCCTCTAACTCCATGTTTGGAGATAACCCCGCCTATCCACCACCACAGTACCCACCTCCGAAGTATTAGTGTCCCAGACCAACGACAAATGTACAGAAGGGAGAACATTGCAAATATCATTATATATTTCTATTAGTAAATTGTGATCACTTTCAGAACATTTTCAGAAGGTTATTTTTATAATAGTTAATAACAGTTAATTGTTAAAATTTTATTTACATACTGAATTGTCTTTGTATTTTTCCTGTTTCCCATTCATGAACACGGAGCCCACGTCTTGTGTAAATAGTCGACAGGAATGCTTACTTCTCCATTACACCCGGTCCCATCTCTGATGATGTTAAATGTCCATATTTGCTCTGCTCTTGATTTGTATTGCTTCAATTAAATTAAATCTACTTTTGAGCTTGAGAACTGTTCTTTTATCGCCATACATATTTTTATCAGTGGTAAAGACTTCATATTGACCTTTATTTAATAACTTCATTCATGTAGATTGTTCCTTATTTTAATTTCTTATTTTAGAAATGATGGTGTGATTAAACCGTATTATAATTTACGCCTTTTCTATCTTTTTTAAACCTTTTATTACTATATTTACCTCTTAGGAAAAGACTTTTTTGTGGTTTTAAAGCATAAAAGATAGCTGCTGGTTACTTTAGTATTAAAAGCTTCAACCACTCTAGATCTGTCCTCTGGTCATTTGAAGAAAAATACTCTGTATCTGCATAAATCGTATTGTTTTATGACCATTATTTCTCTACAGAGAGCCATATCATCAAGCTTTTTAATATCTCATTGACAATGTTATTTTAAATGGTACATTTTTGTGACATTTTTTCTAATTTTTTAAAATGAAAAGAATATTGTGATAATATAAAACCAACCCTTTAAAATTATTTAGATATACTAACTCAGTTAACCTAATCAGAAATTATCACTTTGACATCTTCACCACTTTTTATATTTAACTTTACACATGGATTTTTAAAGACCAATCTAGCGTAATTGGTTTAATTAAATGTGTTCTAAATGTATCGATATCCAAAACAATATATACTTGTATTTTATACATAAAACATAGAAAATAATTGTCTTTTCTGACAAAGGGATTTGAATGTTTCTTAAATGTTACAATTAATTAAAACTGTTTTGAATTTTCTTTCCTTTACATCGACTATCGCTTCCAAACTTTTAATTACAAGAAACTTTACAACGCCTGAATATCGATTATCTGAAACCCTATAACTATGGTCCTGCTGGACACGTTATTACTGGTGACTTAAATATTGTTAATAATAAGGACTTTAGATCACTATTTTTGAGAGGTCCTAAATAATGGGAACCCGGATCCTACAACTTGCATCATAAATATCATGGATTATGAAGAATCAGAGAAATATAAAAACAATATGTTCATGTTCTTAAATCACATGTCAGTTTTGAATATTTTTAATATTTCCAAATATTCCAAACAATTAAAATGAATCTGAATTTTTGAATTTCTGTCATGTTATGTCCCAGGCGATAAGCCAGCCATGAAAAAGAAGATCTCGACTCTTTGTGAGAATAGATTAAATGCACCAGGTTTATGTTAAATCGGACATTTAGCGATTTAGGGTCAATATAAAAACCCAATCGCATCTTCTCGGGTCTTTCCGTCAGAGGTCGGAAAAACAAACATCACCGGATGTTAAAAATTTACATATTCAAATACAGGATAGAAGGATTTAGAAGTCCCTTTTACAGTATATTCTAAGTAATACCATTACATTGAAAAAAGTTAAACTCCATATTCCACAGATAAAATGTCTCCATGAATTTATTTCAAAGATCGTGAAAAGGGAGGGCTATCATGGCGTCTACCACATACACACTGTAAAAATTGTGTTTAGAATTTCAACACTTCCATGACGTGTTTAGATCTAAACATGTATAGAAATATGTTTAACAACTGAACACTTGTGTCTAAACATGTTTTATATCTAAACGTGTTTAGAAATTAAACACGTTCTGCAGTTAAATGCAGAGTTATCTTCCCGGAAATGACACAAATATCGTATATTTGAACGTTAATTTGAGCGGCCATCGAAACATTCAGTAAATCACAAAAGGCTTCAGGGACGTATCAAGGAGAGATACTGACAACCCAACGGATAACCATGAAGAAATATTGAAAATCATTTGAAAGGCATCTTTTTACTGCAACATATTAAAGGTATGTTTTCCTTTTATTAAGATTTGCATTATCTAACGATGAGCAATGTAAACAGTGCCTTTGGGGTCGTTTGTAGACTTGTAGAAGAGGAGGTTATATTGAATTTCATTAAAAATAACTAATTTTATATAAGTATAGTTTCAATGCAACTTTAAAAATTGACGTCAGTGAGCAGCATACGGTACTTTTACTTAAATCTGACTTTCTTTCCTACAGGTTATGTGAATAGTCCGGATTGAACTCAAAGCATCTATGTATCAAAGTACCCGCATCTGTGCATGGTGTCATCTTCAAGTGCAAAATTGTTGTTCTGGGATCAACACTAAGAAACATATTTTTAAGAAGTGTATTGAGTTACCCTTAATTCGACAATGTTCGGTGGATTTAAATACATGTACCTAAAATTATCATTTTGTGATTATCCTTGTGCATTTGATATGAATTACTTTTCGGCAGTTACTGATGGGATATTATATTATGTGGTGCTATGTAGTGCTTTAGGACTGCTGAAAGTTAATCACGTTTGACATTTTGATGACTGACATATGGAACACTCTGCAGACGATCGACAATGTAATTAATCATATGCAATATATTGTATAAAATAAATATTTTATAATTTTAATTGAAATATCTTTAATAATGCATTATTAAAAAGATTAAAGAAAGTTTTGATATAAAATTGCTAGCCTATTTTATTTTTGTTGCTCATCCCTGCGTTATAGATATAATGTATGTCATGCTGATAGAACTTATAGAGATCAAAATATTAAATTTGTGGAAAAAGAATATCACACAATTGTTAAGTATCTACATATGTAAAAAAAAAAAAATCAGAGGCCTTATGATGAATATTTTATATCGGTTGATATTTTGAAAATTTTGACAATGTTATGTGTATTAAGTAATATGCTCTTTGTGCCAAAATTTACATGTGTTTATACATATACATAGTGCTTCTGTAGAAACACTTGTTTTAATATGTTAAATCTAGATAGGACCTATGCTTAATTTCTAAGCACATAATTAACAAACGTGTTTAAAATTCAAACACTTTTCTAAGCACTTTTTTGTCACCTTCTTTTTTATATGTTTAATTCCTAAACATGTAAAATTTCTAAACATGTATGAGAAAGTGTTTAGAATCTAAACACTTATATGCTTCCATTCTAAACACTTTCTCATACGTGTTTAGAAACTAAACATGTTTAGGAATTAAACATATAAAAAAGAAAGTGACAAAAAAGTGTTTAGAAAAGTGTTTGAATTCTAAACACATTTCTTACAGTGCACTCGAGGTCGTTTTTCCGCTAGTCGGAAAGGCCCGAGAAGTTGCGATTGTATGAAAACCATCTATTCTTCTATATTAAAGAAATGAAAAAGAATTCTATGGAGTATACGATTAGAACGTACTGGCTTACAGTGTATTATATAAAACGTAATTTAGTAGATTACTTATACTGATGTTCACGGATGAAAACAAATTATGCATGTGTTGCTCGATCGATGAAAGAATTTCTGGAACTTAAAACAGACATGAGGAATGACTGCTGGCTAAGCTGATTAAAATTAAAACCAGCGTGTAAAAATATATATTTAAACATATATGTATATTTAATTTAATCTTTTAATGTTCATTGAATAAAATTTAAAATGTAAACAATTGTTATATTTTCAGTTATCTTGCAGGAAGACAATGAAAACATTCAAGTGTTTAATTTGTAAACATGTATTACAACATGTTTTGTAAAGTGTTTAAAGTCTAAACATGTAAGTGTTTAGGCTCTAAACACTTTTCGTTAGACGTAATGAAATTCAATGTGTTTAGAATTTCAGTGCATTAAAAAAAGTGCGACAAGAATGTGCTTAGGAAAGTGTCTATCATCTAAACACATTTTTTACAGTGTAATCTTGAAGTTCCTCCTTCATTACTATTAATATCTTTGAAGTAAAGAAAGAGGCTTGGTACGTAGAACATTAACTGGAACCCGCTGTGTATCTTTGTTTTCGTTTTGATTTATGAAGTTTCGCTATTCAATATATATAGATATGGTACATCAAAAATTCAGTTTGGTTGTTTGGAAATTTAGGAAATATTAAAAGGTAGTATTCAAAACTGACGTATGGTTTTGAAGAACTTCCTCTTTAGAAAGGGAGCTTTGAGCATAAATTGGATTACCATTTATACAAATTACACTTACATGTTTAGACTTTAAACACTTTACAAAACATGTTGTAATACATGTTTACAAATTAAACACTTGAATGTTTTCATTGTCTTCCTGCAAGATAACTGAAAATATAACAATTGTTTACATTTTAAATTTTATTCAATGAACATTAAAAGATGGATTTATTATGAAGAATTTTAAATTAAATATACATATATGTTTAAATATATATTTTTACACGCTGGTTTTAATTTTAATCAGCTTAGCCAGCAGTCATTCCTCATGTCTGTTTTAAGTTCCAGAAATTCTTTCATCGATCGAGCAACACATGCATAATTTGTTTTCATCCGTGAACATCAGTATAAGTAATCCACTTCCATACTATAAGAAGTTTTTGGGTTGTTCAAAGCTATAATAACGAACAGCAGACTTCACAAAATTCAGTTTCCTCTAGAAAGTAAGAAGTGTTGAAAAATGTAAGAAAGATGGCATGTCAATGTGGACTTGGAGATGGCAGCAGTTTAAGTTCGTTGTGGACCATATCCTGTAAGAAAGAAATTCAAATTTTATTAAAACACGTCTTCACTGGCTGAAGTTGTATGATTTTTTCATATGATTTATAGCTATTATTGTGCTACTTTTATTGAACATCATTTAACCACAATATAGTATTGATACCGATATAGATATTGTTAATGACATTCTATATATTGTACTCATTTCCAGAATTTAGGAATGCAAAATATCCGAAGGGAATCTTGATCTACAACTACATGTGTAACCGCATGTCTATTTTCGTAGCCCATCGTGGTCAATTTATGTAAATTAGAAATAATAGTAAACATACCTTTTATCATAGTAATGTTGCATTTTAAATGCATTTGATTTTCACAATCTCTTCATGATTATCACTTTGATTAGCATTCACTTCCTTTAATCCATCTTCTTTAGCTTACATTGGGATGTTCTTTGTTTCGATAACCGCTCTATTTATCATTCGAATTTATATGCGTCATTCACAGGCACCTGACGTTACATATTTTTCTTTTATAAAAAAAATATACACATACCTAATAATACATTAGGTATGTGTATATTTTTTTTAATAAAAGAAAAATAAGTAACGTCAGGTGCCTGTGGCGTCATTTCCGGGAAGATAACCCTGCACTTCACAGAAAAGTGTTCAATTTCTAAACACTTATATCTAAACATGTGTTTAATCTAACACCATTTAGATATAACACACGTTTACACATAAGTGTTTAGCTGTTAAACACAATCTTATACATGTTTTAGGTCTAAACACATAACGGAAGTGTTTATTTTCTAAGCGCATTTTTTACAGTGTACTGTTCAACCGTTCCATTCTTATTTCGACATAGTATATCTCAGTGAGCTTGAAATAAAAGACACCACAATTTTTGACACATCTGTTTAATATTTGGATCTATAACTAGAAAAAGACATTAATCAACAAAGCTTAACAATAAACGTGATGACTTTAACTTTTCAATTAACTTCCCTTACTGATGCAGCAATATATCCTTGTCACCTGCATATGGAGTTTTTTACCTCTCAATTGAATCGATACGGAAGAGCATGCTCTACATATGTATGAACATTTTGCATCATTTTGAAATGGAATTTTGTTGAATATATATGTAAAAGGTTTTGGTTTAAAACCCCAAAAATGCAGATATTCCTGCAATATTGTGTGACGTTGGTCACTCTCAATTTTTTGGGGATAATGCTGCAGCCCCCCCCCCCCCCCCCCCCCGCGTTGAAGCCTTTTGTACTGGGGTATAACCGTCTGAAATTCCTCTTTGCTATTTGGAGACAGATGTCATGAATACTCGTTTACCACATATTTCATTCAGACATGTTTTTGTTTTATTTCGTTGTTTTTTTTTGTTTTTTTTTTGTTGTTATCTTTGTTCCTGCTTCATATACTACTTCAAATATTTATATACATGAAAATAGAACAATTTGATATAATATACACTTGTGAAAATTGTCAATTAAAATCGCAAATGATAGAAAATAAAGATGTAAGCTTTGGAATCCGTACGTTTGTTTTTGTTTTTTTTTAAAGTTTTGTCGATCTCCGTACATCACCAATAGCGATATCAAAGGAACAATTATTTTAGAAGAAATCTAAAAAAAATTCCAAAAATTAAGAAAAATGATTCTTTGAAATGTCACTACTATTTGACGTCCATAGGTGGAAATAATACCAGAGTCCGCGTATTTTTGTTCGACCCTCGTATATAATGCATAAATAAAAAAAAAATGGGGGGGCACAGGTGCTTGCGGACAGGACACACCCCCCTTTATATGTAGAATATAATCCACTGGTATTAATGAAGAAGAAGGTTGGCAACTTCTGCAGACGCCATTTTGTAAAAATTGTCACCTCGGTAGGAAATTCAAACATTATTTTACTGAAACGAACTTACCAACTGCAAATGATGATCGTTGCACTTTCGCAGGTTACGACCAGTAGTATATATTTTGTACATATCATGCACTTATTTCACGTTAATTTAGAATATTTACAGTGTAATATACATTAACAAATGCTTATAAAAGTAAACTATGAAAAAAGAAACTCGACAAGCCATAAATATAGAGGGTGTATCCTGTCCCCAAGCACCTGTGAAGGGGGATGTGAAGTATAGCGTGAAAGTTTTTCCGAAGCCTTCTGTTTAGATTCTGAATTCGCTTGCTTGTTTTTTTGTTTTGTTTTTTGGTTTTGTTTTGTTTTTATTTGGTTTTTTTAATTAGTTAAGGAATCACTGTCTAGTTAGGAGAGTATGTCAGGGCATCAACAACAGTGGGAAACATGGGATAATTTGCATAACGGGCGAAGCCCGTTATGCTAAAATTATCCCATGTTTCCCACTATTGTTGATGTCCCTGGCATACTCTCCTAAGTAAACAGTGATTCCTTATATTTTCATTTTATTGTGAAATAAAATGGTAGATTTAGACTTTAAAAATGTAGACATAGACTTAAATTACACGAGGACTTCCATGCCAATTTCAATAGTCCTCGCCCAATGACGTCAGACACCTAGGCAGTCGCACGAGATTTACATGCACATTTTGCCTCCTTAGCGTCAGACATAGAGACAGATGCGCACGAGATTTGCATGCATTTTAGGCCTCCTTAGCTCCTGACCTATCGACCTTCCTAATTTACATTCCGGCAGAATTATCAAGAAATAAACTCCGACAACTTTCAAAGAGTTATCGCAGAGGGAAAAATTAGAAATGGAAATATTTGAAGATATACGTGGTAAAAAGGCAACCCGAGTTCTTCAGTATCATTTCTAAACAACATTTAAAAAGATCCAGAATCTATGCATTTGTCATCGCAGCGACATTTAACATATATAGTGTATTGAACTATATGCAGAGAGTGCTTTGTTTTTCTTCTTATAATTTAAATGGTCTAATAGTACAAATTAAAACACGTCATTGAAGATGAGTAGGCCAATATACCGAAAAGATGAAAGATTTGATTGAATTGTGAGCCTCTGAATAGTCCGGCAAAATACGACCCAGGACTTTAAAGTAATACGTGTTAAAACTAAATCTTTACCATTAAGATGAGCGTTATAGTTTTAGCGGGATTTTTTGCGGTACTTTTCGCATTTTGTAAGTAATTTAATTTTCAATCTTTTTATGGGAAACTTGAGGTATAATGCAGCTGCTTCCTTTTTTCAAAGCATTCTTGGAAATACCATACGAATGTCAAATTTGAATTAAATTCTGTTTACATTTTCATTCTATTTATTAACCCGTCCAGAGAAAGATTGATGAGCTAATAAAGAATAAAAACTCTTTATAAGATAAAAGCACATTTTGTTTTAATTTTGTAAGAAATGATGTCATCTTAAAACAGAATTTAAGATTCTCCCAGGATATTAATGTATTTTCGTTGTATAGATGAGTAAGATGTTTTGTTTTTTTTAATTTTAGGTTTGCAGACCTTAGAGTCAGCGTCTTACTGCTATTATAGATACGCTTACAGTAGATACTACTGCTACTATTACTATTACTACGACATAAGTGATGATGAGTGAGTTATGCTTTTCACTTTCAATGTGTGTTCTCTAAAAGAGATGTCTTTAAAATATAAGGATTTAAGTTCTAAAACAGAAAAAAAATTGTACATCTCAAGGGATCATAAGCACAGAATATTTATGAAAATGATTAAATTTTATTTGATTTAAACAAATGAATTCCAAAGAAGAATTAATTGATTACACAAGGTTATTATCATTAAGTATCCAGAATATAAGCTCACTGTGATGTGAAGGGTTCCTGTGCGGTTTGATCGCTTGGCTTATCATTCTTGTTCTGATCTGTAAGAATCATTTTTGCCGGATTTCCCGTTTGTTCTTACTCTGATTTGTAGGAGTTCTCTGGGCGGCCTGATCGCTGGGCTAATCGTGCTTGCTATAGTGGTAGGCGTGGTCGTCTGCCTTATAAAAGCTAAGCACAACAGGTCACGTGTAGTGGCTCTGAGTGGTAACACTGGTACTTCGGTCCACGTCTCCAACGTCAACACCGTGCACCACGGTAAGTATTCTCAAAGGAATCATTAAACATGTGATTCTCCTGTATTATATTGCGAAATCTGTATCATATACAATATTGACACTCCATATAACGAGAGTTAATGGTAAAATAAATGTCAGCAGAAAAAAATTTATCGTTCTTATGATTTATTAGAAAGGCAAACGATTAAATAATATCATGATAACATCTCAAGTTTGTCTTGTTTAGAACTAGTTTATCAAGTTACCAACAAATTGCCTTTTGTTTGTGATGAGATTTTATGGAAGCTCTTGTGATAAAGTTTCTATATCCCTTAATATTTCCTCACTCAGTTTTGAAACTCCTCACCCTATCATTTGCTTTTTAAAGCTTATTGCATTAATATTCCTCATGTACTGAGTTATTCAACGCCATATTACTTTAACGTAAAATAGATATATCATGATAAATAATTCATAAATAACTTAAGTTAAGATTCTCCCATGACATTAATATATATTTTCCTTGAATAGATGAGTAAATTGATTTTAATTGAAAGTTAATCTTAAAAAAAACCTTGTGACATCAACGTTCAACATTTTTCTTTCTATAAAATTTAAGTTATGATTCTCCCATGACATTGATATATTTTCGTTGAATAGATGAGTAAATTGATTATAAAATGAAAGTTAATCTAAAAACAACCTTGTGACATCAACGTTCAACATTTTTCTTTCTACAAAAAAATCTAACGGCTAACAAACAAACACCAAAAACAATTGCCTACAACTTCATTTCATTCTCTAATTTTGTCCAAGTTTTATTTGAAGGCTTTTATATTGAGGTAAACTTCCTTTCAGCTCCACCACCGCCACAGTACGGACACATGGCGCCGCAACCAGGATATGGTCAGCCTCACCCGGGCTTTATGCAGGCGCCTAACCAGCCCATGTATGGGGGTGGAAACCCAGCCTATCCCCCGGGACACCATTACTGAGACCGTTATAAGGGACTAATCTGTAGCTCAAGAAGTAAAAAGGGCGAAACGTATACGTTTAATTTGGAAAATTTACTTTTCTACATGTATTCTGTTTTTCATCACATTGTTTCATCCTGTAATCTGTTTTCCGTAATTTTCCATGAAAATTACATAATTTCCTTAATTTTCCATGAAAATGTTTGTTGCTTGTTGTGGAAAAAATAAAATGTTGACATTTTTTTTTTCAATTGTCATACTAAGAACTGGGGGAAAATATTGTGTGTATCCATTAATATATTTTCCAAAATGGTACGTTTGATACATAAGTTAAGAAAATATATTTGAATTAAAATAATTATGAATCTGCCTTTACTCATTTTAAACACCCTTTTAAATTGAGCCTCATACACGAGAAAAATGTACATGTATATAAAAAATTCCTTTATATGATTGTTGAAAAATAATCAAGTCATCAAATTTAGAAAAAGGTTGTATTTTCTCATTGAAGGAGGGTAAATCCCCTTTCTTTTCTAATAAAAACTCTGGTCATAATATGCTTCTCTGCAAAGAACAGATGGATGTTCGTTTTTACAAGCAGTTAAATCTAAATAAATTATGTTTCAGTTAATTCAAGTGATGACGATATGTTAATTTAAAATCTAAATTATATTCGAAGTTTTTAAAATTCAAATTATGTGGTCCAAATAACACGTGCACAAACGTGCACAAACTTTGTCAAAATGCTACAAAACAGTTATATTTCGGTATACATGTGTAATCATAAGTGCATGTGTATTTCAAGATCGTTGTAACTCTATAACGCTATAGGCCTGCTGGACACGTTATTACTTGTAATGTAAATATATAGCTTATAATGAGGACCTTAGATTATTAATTTTAAAAGGTTCTTAAAAGGGAACCCCGATCTTTTAACAGGCGTCAGTATTTCAAACTTATTATGGATTCTGTTGAAATAAAAAGAGCTCGACACTTTGTTAAAATGGATTTAATGTATCAGATGTATGATGTATGTTAACATCGTACATTAAGCGATTGAGGGGCAATTTGAGGAAAATTTATCTGTATGTAATAATCCAGGGGTGAAAAAAAGAATTTGATAGATAACATGATCAGTACGTACTGGTCCCTGCTGACAAAGCAGGTAACAACATTGTCGTACTATATAAAATGTATTTTAGATGAACTTGGAATCTGCAAGTGGTAATCCAACATATTCTTATTGTTCCCTTTCAAAGGAAGAAATTCTTCAAAATCAAAAGTCAGTTTTGAATATTTTTTGATACTCCAAATACGCAAAATGAATTTGAATCACCATGTCTAAATTGGATTCAGAAACTTCATAAATATCCTTACAAACAAAGATACATGGCGGGTTCCAGTAAACATTCTACCAAACCTCTTTCTTTTATAAGCAGAAGTGAAGGAGAAACTTCAAGAGCACTGTGCAACAATATACATTATTTGAGAAGTGGTGTAAATCACAAGTGGATACTTAAAATTCCAAGGAACTTTTGGAAAATTTGAAACCAGAAAAAAATTATCCAAAGCAACTACATTAATGCCCTGTTCACACGACGAGTTTAATTCGCAGTAAATTAATGCGAAGTAAACTAATGCGAATCAAATTAATGCGAATTAAATTGCGTTCACACGACAGATAATGCGAAGTAAACTAATGCGAATTTTAAAATTCTACTTCTACGGTCAGGCGTCAGTAAGGCTATTATGACATCATTTGCAAATCACGTCACCTTGTGCAGGAACAGATGCATTTGACATACATTAGTGATTAACACAATTTTCCTTAGTTTTTCACTCAAAAATAGCACAAATACTCCAAGCTGACCACGGACATGTGGCATTTGACCTACTTTTGCCATTACGCATGCCTCAAAATTTAATTCGAATTAGCTTCGCTTAGCGTTCACACGGAGCTAATGCGAAGTAATTTAATGCGCAGTAAATTAATTAGAATTAAACTAATTAGCATTAAATTCTACGTGTGAACGCTAAGCGAAGCTAATTCGCAGTAAACTTACGTTTAATTCGAATTAAACTCTCCGTGTGAACAGGGCATAAGACTTAAGACTTTTCAACTTTATATAAATATATTCCCTATGATCAATGAAGTCATATCTTTTATTATTTCCTTCAACCGTTAGCTGCCTTTTCATTAAAAATGGAACTCGTGAATTTAATTATCTTGTCATTGGTCATTTGCAAAAAACATGCTGATTGTACACACAAGTACTATGAAGTTGATATTAAAAGTATGCTCGAGTTTCTGATTGACAATATCAGAGATCACGTCTACAAACAATCTGTTGGAATTCCCAAGTATTTTAATATGGGTACAAATTGCGCCCCGTAATTAGCAGACCTATTTTTGTATTCATATGAAGCAAAAATTGTCCAAAATCTTATACGTGAAAAGAAGAAAATACTCGCTGTGGTCTTCAACTCGGCATTTTGATATATCGACGACTTCATATTGCCAATTAATAATGGTTATTTCTATCCTTATGTCGATAGGATATATCCCGGTGATCTTGAAATAAAAGATACCACAGAGTCTTAAACATTTGTTTCATATCTAGTTATTCTACTTGAGAAAAATGTTTATGGTAATCTAACAACCAAGCTTTAAGACAAACGAGATTACTTGAACTTTTTAATCGTCAACGCCCCTTACTTATGCAGCAATAAACCTTCATCACCTGCATACGTTTGGATCTCTCAGTTGTTCAATACGCAAGAGCATGCTCTACGTATGAACAACATTTTAAAATGAGGTAAGTTGTTGACAAACAAGTTGGTTGCTGAAAAGGAATATAAGCTCACTCGTTTAAGGTCATCATTTCGTTAATTCTATTGTCGATACAGTGACCTTGTCAGCAAATACAATTTATCAATAATTCAAATGCTGACTGACGTTTTTCATACTTTAATCGGTAGGTCATTATAAACACACTAAATTGTGGACGGACTTTCCCGTTATTCCTCGTTCTGACAAGGAGCACACGGCAAGAGATGTCCATTTCTCTATGGCATCTGATCCCACCTCTGATGTTTTGGAGGTCCGTGTTTGCTCTGCTCCTATTTTGTATCGTTTAATGGACTTTTGAGCTTGAATACTATTCATTATCTCCATTTATTTCATGTTATTCTTTTCATAAGTTGTTTGTCCCTCGCAATGAAACACTGAACCGTCTAACAGTATAAATAATGTACCCACGCACAGTCTTTAAATGACAATTTAACAATATATTTTGAAGGGTTTTTTTTATTTTGAAAAGTTTATTTGTGCCAGGGTAAAAAATAAAAAAAAAATTCTGACAAATAAAAACAGCAAAATAAAAACAAAGAAAATTAAACACATAGATGAATTCTTATGACTTTAATATGCATTGTATTAGACATAAATTTTGTCTTCTAGATTAAAATGATACCATCGTTCCTGATTTTAAAATTTTGAGTTATTATTTTACTTCGTGTATTCTATTTGTTTGTATACGTACCGTTATATCCCAATGAACCATTAAAATTTTAACAAAGATATAACTTTGATTATCCGCCAAATGTATTTTGATATCCAAAAAATTTAAAACCCTTATAGGGCCATTATTCTAAAATCATGCATTTGAGGTAATGTGTCTGCAAACGTGAGTGGAAATTTGCATTATGATTAATTTGGCTTTTCTTCCTCTGCACATGTGGGTGAGTCTTCCAGTTGTAAATTAACATATTTTTAACATTCTATATATTTTCTTTCAATTTCATATCATATCTTTAAATATGAAAGTAGGTCAGATATCATATTAGATATCATATCATGAAACATATGGAGGTAACAAACAGTATTCATTATCAAAAGTCCATTTAACATATAAAATGGGAGCAGAGCAAAGACAGACCTCCAAAACATCAGAGGTGGGATCAGTTGCCATGGAGGATCGAGTGAGTATCCCCTGCCAACCGGTCACACCAGCCGTGTGCTCCTTGTCATGATCGGGAAATAATGGAATCAAAGTATTGAAATAACTGAAAGCCGGGCTTTAAATGCTTGAGTATATTGTCTGTTCCAAAATTAGTACATTTTTTTCCTTTTGGCCATTGATTTTTATGGATCTATACATCAAGGGCGTATATTGTTTTTGTCCTGTCTGTTTGTGTGTTTATCTGTTTGTCTGTTTGTCTGTCTGTCTGTCAACTTTAACCTTCGCCATAACTTTTAAACCATGAATGATAATGACTCCATGTTTGGTATGCATACTCAACTAATAAAGGTCTTTCAATGAAACCAAGGTCAATGACCTTGTGACCTTGACTGTGACCCATATGCTTAAAATAGTTTTTTCGAACTTTCGCAATAACATTTGAACAATGAGAGATAGAGACTTTATAGTAGCAATTGGTATGCATACTCCACTAATTAAGTTCTTTCAAATGACACCAAGGTCAATGACCTTGTGACCTTGACCTGTATGCATACTCCACTAATTAAGTTCCTTCAAATGACACCAAGGTCAATGACCTTGTGACCTTGACCTATATGCTAAAAATAGCTTTTTAAAACTTTGTTGCCGCCGGGCGAATAGTGTTTCACAAACACATCTTGTTAACAGGTAGAGTTTGTATGATTATGATGTAAAACAATATCCCATGTACCAGTAATTAGAATAAATGTTCAGTCCTGACCCCAAGATATGTTATGATTTAAAAATTTGATAAATAATATTTCCAAGAAATTCTAGAATATTTTCCATTCAATTTTTTTTCTCATGATTTAAAAATTCAGTCTTGGAATAGTTAAAATAATGCACATGTGTATTTTATAGACATTCTTCTAGTTTCACAGACAGAAACATGTAGAAACACTGAGACATGTACATTGTCAAGCGACTTCACGCATGTTAATTCTTAAAACTCCAATTCACTATACTATTAGTATTAATTTGCTAAAAATCAAAACAGAATATAACCACTAACATAACATCGACGAAAACAATATGAAACATGAAACTCTTCAACAAATTCAACATTTCGAGAAGCCTGAGCTATCAAAAAATAGTTCGCTTACAATATGCATTCAGCAGAGTATGTGCACAAATTGCTATATCACGATTATCCCATTAAAGCAAATATCTATTTTCTCAGTTTAATGCTCAAGCAAAAATATTGATCATTAACTTTTCCAACTTTTTTAACGAATGTTAAAAATATTTGTTTGAACATCGTCTCGCAATGGGACTATTTTGTTTATCGGAAGCGTCTGTTTTTACGCTGTTTGGTTTTTTGTTTACTGTGCTATTTATAGAAAGACAGTTGATCATGATGACTATAGCCATGACTTTGCATTTAGCAAAGCCCGGCTAAAAATCCGTCGTCAATTCAGTGTATAAATAATGGACTTACAATTAGTATGAAAAACGTCAGTCAGCATTTGACTTAATGACAAAGTCATTAATGTCATTTCCTTGTCATTGGTCATTAGAACAAATTATTTTCAAAAAAAACATCTTAATTACTAACAGGTCCTCTGAAACTGATATTTAAAAGATTTCTATGTAATTTTTGGAGATCGGGTCTTCCAACGGTCTTTTTAGAATAATAACATGCGTTATTAACAGAGCTGTTTTTGTATTTATGAAGCAGAACTTACCGGTATTCAAAATCTTGTCATATCTGAAAATTAGACCCTTGTTGTGGCCTTCAACACTACAACCACATATACCAACGACGTATTATCAATTTCTTTCATATATCGGCTTCATACAACAGAGTTAGATACACCTGCGTTGTAAAATATTGCTTGACAGGAATGTTTGTAAAAGTTTTTCATGGAAGTTATTTTCCTGGAAATAAAATTAATTGCATTAAATGACATCATCTCCTATCAGTATCAGTAATTAACTTGAGAATTTTGAAAATACTTTAATCTGCATTTTGACAGAGGCACAGAAAGAGCTTTCCTATTTTTTTTGAAGAAGTTTATATCTGATCACAGATTTGTGTAGTTTGTGCATTTTTTTAATCAACCCTTGATTTCTTTATCTCCATCTTTTTGAGTGTAAATTAATGTGCAGCTAACTGTATATTTAGAAACAGTTTGATCTGAAACAAATGAAGTAAAGTTGTAGAAGAGACCAATCACGATATCTAAAAAATTGTATTTTCACTCTATAAGTTTAAGAGAGCCTCTCCTTGATTCTTGAACCCTGACACTTGTAGAATTTTTTCCCAATATGGAAAAACTCACTCTCTTGGTTTGTCTGATAAATAGCACAAAAGCAGAGAAAAGGGATTGATGATCAATGAATGAATGCATTTTAACAACAAGAGAAAAAAGAGATACGCCCTAACACAGGGGCACCCAATCATTTGGTTTTGAATTTCATAAATTATGACGGAGGTTGAATAGTGAGGTTTAAACAACAATATTAACAGTTTGACTGATTTATGAACAGGAGTAAAGAAAACTGAGTACATGATTAATTTTGTGTGTTCTGGCCTCAGGGGACAGAGACCATGATATTAAAAAAATTTCCAGTTTGTCCATAAATGATCTCTAGAAAATTTGGTTCATCGGTTCCAGAGGTAAAAATGATATTGTTCAATATAAGGGCCCTACAAACGACAGATAGGATAAATATTGATACAAAGGAGCACCCCAATTAGTAACTTAATTTTGTTTTTTATATTTTACGTTTAGATATAGCGACAAAGACAGGCTAAATAAACTTTCCCTCAAGGTTTTATAGCAACATGGTAGAGTAAGTAGTGCTTTATATTACCTTATGGCTTTTAAACCTTTTTATCAGCTACGAATTTTATCTCACTTACTATATTACATTACCTGCAAATGCTTAAAATATTTCTTTGCAAAAATATGCCTTTGTTTGGAAGATGACTTCAAATGAAGTAAACCAGCTTCCAAATAAACCATTTGTATGGAATATTTTCAAAAATCGTTAAAATTTTAACTCCTTAAATCATTCTTTATTTTATGTTTTGTAGCCTTTCACTTGGGGGTCTCGTGGCAGTGATAACCGGCTTAGTTGTGATCATCATACTGCTCGCCTATATGATCAGAGCAAAGTATAAAAGGTCGCAGATTAATGCTTACAATGGAAACACACGGGTGACAATGATCAAAGTATCAGAAATTAATACAGTACGTCAAAGTGAGTACAATATTAAGAATACTCGTATGTACTTAATTATTTTTCCTTTTACTGTTAAAATTAAGAGAAAATTCAATGTTAAGTAGCTGAATAATTGAAAAGGGTCAAAATATCGAACAACAATCGATCAAATAAAATCTATAAACCACAAAACCCTAAAGAGGACATTCATACAGACCCAGGGGAATTCCGGAGGTAGGATCAGGTGCCTAAGAGGAGTAATCATCCGCTGTTGAGCGGTGACACCCCTCGTGAGCCCCATGTATTGATCATGTAGGTAGAACATTCCGCATTCAAACTCATTATGAAAACAAACACCTATCAATTGGTATGAATCAACTTATTTCTTATATGACCAATTAATGGTTATATTTCTTAAAATTATGATCATTATAACGACCATATAATTTACGATTTACGAAATGTTGGCTTTACACAAAATCCTTATAGCGTCAACTTGCCCGTCAGTAGTAACTCTGGACGTGTTCGGGACATGGTCTTGAATATCGGATAATTTGGAGTTGTAAGCAGATGATATAGCAGGACATGACAAAGAATTTTGACAAAGTTGTAATCATATTGTTGATCAAACATTTCAGTTGATGGTTGGAACTTAATGTCTTTAGTCAGAAAAACATCAAGTTATGAAAATGTTACCTACATTTGTATGTTTCGATATTCGAAAATCCACTGCATTCAAATATACTGTATTCTGCAATAAGGATAACAAACAAATAAATACCATCATTTAATGCCATTTGATATTTGATCTGTTTGATTTGAGGTTCGATATTTCTCAAACGCGAATAAAAGTAGGTTTACAGTAACTATCCTGATTACATGGAATAATGTATTTCTGCAACTTAGAAACCATTGATATGTTGATAGGTATCTACGTTAATATTTTTTGTTCCTTTATATGTTTTTTTTTCTTTCAGTTTCACATACTCAGCATGTTCCAAACGGGTTTCACCACAAGTAGACCAGATATTGTATGTGTTTCTTATTTCCCTCCTTTCATTGTTGGATGAAGGTGATTAACAGATAGAAAGAAAGGTGAAGATAGAGTAAAAAGAAAACCAACTGTTTACTTTCCATTTAAAAATGAAAATGTTTATTATGAATATACGGTGCTATGGATTTCACATTATACGTGAAAAAAGAATTATAATTTTTAATCGTTTTGAATTCTGATGAACATAATTAATTCTCTCTCTCTCTCTCTCTCTCTCTCTCTCTCTCTCTCTCTCTCTCTCTCTTTTTTTTTTTTAACGAAAAATAATTTTCAGTTGATGTGGTATAGTAACATAATATTTAATTGAAAGTGGATGATTCTGAACAAAATAGACATATTACAATTACATAAACAGTGCTGCTAGAATTTCATTGGACAAATCTTGATATACGAGTATTCTATTAAAGATTTTTACTTTTGAAAGTGGTCTGGAACCACTGAAATAAAGATGAAATATAAAAACCTAGTTCTTGCAATAAAGAATAATGTCATGTTGTAAATTCTGAATTAACCGGGTGGCAGTAAATGTTGTAAATTTTGTATTTACTGCCACCCGGTAAATTCAAAATTTACAACATGACAATAATATTCAGCTATGGGCCTTGTCAACTCAATAAAATCGCAAGATATTCATAAAAAATGACATCTCTAAATAAGGATAAAAAAAACTTGAACATATAAAAAGGTTCCATTAATTATAAATGAATAGAAATCGTCCTCCTTTATGTAAGAATATCTTTTTCACTATGTGGCATATATTACCAAAAATAAAATAAAATAATCAATTTCTGTAAAAAAAAATATCAATTCTTACAATTTGGTGAAATGAATCAATGATTGTTTTTTAAATAAACATATTTTTTCACTTGTAAACATCTGTATTTAAATGTCATGTTGATTGATGCAATAACTGTTTTTTTTAACCTATTCTTATTTAATTTGTGTATTAGGTATGTAGTTAATAAAAGAGTTTAATCATATGATACTTGTGATTTTTGTATTATTTCATCCTAAACTGCGATTAATATATTTAAAAATGTTTGCTTATCTTTGAGAACAAAAATTGCATACTAAATTTTTAAAACTTGTACGATTCAATTTTTTAAATGTTTATAACAATACATTATGTTCCAAATACTTATAAAAATGAATACAAGGTAAGTAATTTCGAACCACCAGAATATTCTCATTATTTTACATTTTACATGACAGATTCGAAACAACTCTTTCATATTTGGCGATTTCAATAGAAAAAGACGTTGATTGCAAATTAAGATTAAACATTTTGATAAGCGGGTTCACTTCTGTCTTAAATGTTCCTTATCAGTTTGTATGAAAGATTTGAGCCATAGTTCGACCTAGAGAGAGACTGCAAAGTTGAACGACTGCACAGCAAGGTTATTGCGCATGCTTACATGTAGCCAATAGATATTTTTTATACGGAATAATTTTTTTCAATAAAAACGCGATTCCGATAATCTTCGTCTATTATCGATACAATGACTTTTTCAGCAAATACAATTTATCATTAAGTCAAATGCTGTGACTGAAGTTTTTCATACTGATTGTTTGTCCATTATTTACACACTGAATTAATTGTCTATTGATTATTCCGTTATTTCCCGATCACGACAAGGAGCAAACGGCGGGTGTAACTGTCGATAGGGGAGTTTTCTACTCCAAGGCAGCTGGATTTGGAGGTCCGTGTTTGCTATGCTCCTGAATTGTTATCTCCATTTATTTCATTGAGTCGAATTGGCTGTTTGTACACAACTTGATAATAAAAATCCTTACAAAGATACATTGCGGGTTCCAGTAAACGTTCAACCAAGCCTCTTTCGTTACTCCTCACCAAGATATTGACAGTAGTAAAGGAAAAACTTCTGTGCAAAAATATATTCAAGAAGTGGTGTGAATTAAATGTGGATACTCAAAAATTCCAAAGAACTTTTGGACGATTTGAAATCACAAGATTTTACCAAAATCAACGGCTGAAAAACTTTCGACCTTTCAACTTTATACACAACCATTCCCCACGATAAATACGATAAATTAAAGTCCAGGCTTTTTGATATCATGGACTCTTTTATCTTTTTCAATAAAACTGGAACTCGTAAATTAACTTGCCTGGTCATTGGTCATTTGCAAAATTATTTTGTTAAAACACATTCTGATTGCACACACAAGTACTCTGAAGTTGACATCAAAAAGATGCTCGAGTTTCTGATTGACAATATCTATCTGGTTTTTGGAGAACAGGTATTCCAGCAATCTATTGGAATTCCCATGGGTACCAACTGCGGTTCGTTATTAGCAGACCTATTTTTGTATTCCTATGAAGCAGAATTTGTGCAAAATCGTATGCATGAAAAGAAAAAAACACTTGCTGTAGCCTTCAACTCCACATTAAGATATATCGACGACGTATTAATTTCCATTCCTACGTCGATACGATATATCCTGGTTAGCTTGAGATAGAAGATACCACAGAGTCTAACACATCTGTTTCATACTTAGATATTTTACTTGAAAAAGACGTTAATGGTAATCTAACAACCAAGCTGCATGATAAACGTGATGACTTTAACTTTTTATCATCAACTTCCCTTACTTATGCAGCAATATACCTTTATCACCTGCATACGGAGTGCATATATCTCAGTTGATTCGATACGCAAGAGCATGCTCTACGTATGAACAATTCTAAAACGACGTATATTATTGACAAGCAAGTTGATGAAGCAAGAATATCAGCAGTCTCGTTTAAAGCTAGTTAAAACCCATTTCGTAAGTTCTACGGTCGATACAATGACATTGTCAGCAAATACAATTTATCTTTGAGTGAAATTCTGACTGACTTTTTTTCATTCTAATTGTTAGTCCATTATTTATACACTGAATTGACGACGGATTTTTTTCCGTTATTTCCCGATCATGACTTTGAGCACACGGTGAGTGTGCACGGTCGACAGGGGATCCCCACTCCTCTATGGCACCTGATCCCACCTCTGATGTTTTGGAGGTCTGTGATTGCTCTGCTCCTATTTTGTATTGTTTTATGGACTTTGATGTTGAATACTGTTCGTTATCTCCAAATCCTTCTTGATAGTGTAAAAAAGAAAGTACAGAAAAATGCTATTCCTGATTATCTTCATAACAAATATTTCCAAGAAAGTTGAATCGTTTTATATTCAATTATGGTAACGTATATAGCGTATACTGAAGAAATCGTACTATGGCATTGTGGAAGCCATCAGGATTAGTTTGTAAGAACGTAGAAATCTAAGATCTTGTCTCCTAAAACAGGTTTGTAGTAATACCATTTAAACAGGTTTTATGGGTTGGACAGAAGCAATGATGACTCTTTCTAACCGGTCGAAAGGTGTGCTTACACATACTAATACTGATAAATTACACTTGATTCCACCTCTTATGTTTAAGAGATCCGTGTTTGATCTGTTCGCAATCCTAATGTAAGGTCTTTATATCAAAATTAATGACAGCTTTGATGAGGTTTAAGCAACTTTCAATAATTTTCTTTCTATTTTCGTGGAATAAAATTTTTTAAAGACAATCCTTCAGTAAGCTCCTAAATATTTTTATTCTATATATTTAGAATTATTTAGGAGCTACATGTTGTCCTTTATCATCCTTTCAGGAGCCGCTTCTGAAATATTAAAGGATTGTATATATTTTTAAAAGAACATTATTCTTAACATTTTCTTCAAATCTGCTTATCAAAATATCCCCCCTTTTGATTTATATATTGTTGAAAAAATTGCTTTTTCATAATGTAAACGTGTTTTTCCCGCAAGGAGTCATAATTCCGCAGAATTACAAGTTCTGTTCAACCCGCCGGTAAGAAAAAAAATACGTAGATTTCTTAGTATGTCACTCTATGCCTTGAATATATATGTATGTTAGAGTATATTTCCGCAGAAAGTTATTAATTGCATATACAACACTAATTAGAACTAACATTATTAGAATACTGGAAAAAAACACTTGTATAGTGTCATGGTTCATACTTACCAACCTCCAGCATGCAAAAATCTGGTCATGACCAGATTTGGAAAGTAAATAATCTGGTCATAACGCGTAACGACATTCACGACATATTTACCATGATTAAATTTTATACATATATATACAAAGTATTTGTGTATTGAGAATTCTTTTATTGAAAAAGGATTTAATTTACTATGACAAAAAATTCATTCATAATTTGATTTAATTTACATGTTAAAAATGAGAATTGAAGGTTTCATATTTCAGTATTAACCTGAAGTAAATGTGCATTTTTTTTTTTAAAAAAAAGCCTTTTCAGTTTCTGCTTAATTTGAAAGTATACCAATTTCAGTTTTGAAGTTATTTTTCCTCTATCTTAATTAATTAACAACTGCAATATGTTTTAAATGTGAAGTTAGGCCTACACTGTCTTTGATCACTTTATTTTATCTAGAATGAAAGTTTTTTTCCCAAGATTCCTAAATATCGTTTCTCTTTTTCTTGGTTCAATCAGAGACATGTGTTTGGTTCAGTTTGTTCCTGTTGGTCCTGATAACGATCTAGTTATATCGGAAGCCATTTTAATTGACTTTAAACATTGATTTGTCAAAACTACACCCAGTTAATTGTTTACACCTGCACTGATAATTAATCCATCGGCATTGTTTACGTAGATCTAAGCTTGGGTTGTAACTGGAAGTTAAAAGTGCAACCTAATTTACGAACCAAATCCGGAAATCGGGAGATTTTCGGGTTGTTCGGCAGTGATAAGCACGGTGTAGTACCTAAACGGTTGCTATCAGAAAAAATTGCGCGTTCATCACTGCTATCTGAAAACTGAGCGGTTGCTAGTGGAAAAAAAATGGACGAAACTGTAAGTTTTTTTCTTCGCTGGCTCAACAAAATGGTCAATAATTCAATTATTAAAGTTTAGCTGCTTGGTATTCCACCCTTACGGAACGTTACATACATTTTGAAACTAACATGTATATTTAGAATTTTAATGAATTAAAGAATTGCTGATATACAAGACGAAAACTGTCGAAAGCGTTGGACACATTTACATGCACGTAAGAAATATTTTAAAATTGCGTCAGAAGTTTTAGATATTTGATAAAAATGAATCGACAGTTCGTTGTGTATTTGTAAATAGTATTGGTTATTTTATATCATTGTTCACTTTGATGGGTTTCTTAAAAGCTA